TGTTTTTTTTTTTTTGGGTTAAAAAATTGGCAAGTCTTTTTGGGCGAAAAAAAAATGAGAAAATGTAATTTATTAATTTCGCATGGACGTGTGACAGTTGGTTGCATTTTCCTGATCCTTTATTTACACAATGAGCGGCAGCTTGGCATTGACCCTTTTTACCCCCGGCGACCCAGTGCGATTTTTACTCGGAAAATGTCAAGAAATTTTTTGTTGCAAAATTCGCATTATCCATAGGAAATTGCAACTTTACAATGGGCAAGGGTTCAGGGCGATAGAGCACTTACCCCCTACCCTTTACCCTATAGCCCCTAACCCCTTTCAGTGTCATGCGAGGATTTCACAATCAGTTCGCTTCATTTGCGCTCAAAACTAATTCGGCGGTGACCCCTTTAGTTTTGGGCTAAATTTTACACATTTTGGAAAACTGTCCAACCGGGCAACCCTTTTCCATGCGCAACAATGCACGGAATTGTAAACTCTAATGAAATTTTTGGGGGCACCATACGCTTCGCACGCGTGTGGATTTCACATTTCACATTTCACATATCCGACAGGCAGCTGCCACGATTCCAGAATTCGTAGGGTCCGAATGGTTTTAAACACCCAAACTACCCGTGCCGCAAACACAAATACGAACACATACTCGCCAGTATCTTACGCTTTTTTATGGATCTTGTTTACTTATTCGATTTTGATACTATTGGCGCACGCGTCTGTGTTTGCCCACGGCTTAGGGGCCGCAGCCGGGTTTTTTTCCCGGGGTGTTAAAGATAAGGAAACTCTCGGGGTTTTTTTGTGTAAAAATTGACTTTTTTCAGGCGCTGTGTGTGAGTTTGGGTTGAATTTAGGGTTTTTAAATCAAGACACGCGTCGTTTGGAAGTGTGTAATGTCTTTAAATGACGGCCAACTGCTTGAGAGCAATGTGTTTCCTTTTTTGGGATTAGTTCGAAATTATAGGGATAGTTATGAAAAACACAAAAACAAATTAAGTATAATTTGGGATCATTAATTTGCAGTGGTCTTACTGTCGGAACTTGTGATTGTAACGTGGGCATGAGCAAGAGGCTAGTTATACAAACGTCTATGCTGTTAATGCTGATTAGAATATATATACTTTAAAGGATGGCAAAGATTTCCTTCCACATGTGATTAATTTTTGCACAAATACATTCCTGTACTTTACGAGTAAGAAATTCAAATATTTTATGATTTTCTAGATGACTGATACTTCTTGTTACAAATAAATTACAAGATTGGTGTAAATAATTTATAAAAGGATTTTGTGAAAGGGGCAAACCTGCATCAAAATCTCTTATAATGGCAATCATAATTATACAAATATAATTTATTTATGTTTTTTCCACATTATATCCTATGATCAAAGCCATTCGATTGAAAAGGGGCTCAAGGAGAATTAAAGGAATTATTACCGGCACTTATCTTATCTTCGGCTCTGCAGTTATTGATGTGTTTCTGCTACTTCTTGGCCACTTTCTGAATTTCTGTTCTCGAACATTTTGCGAGATAAAAGTATAAAAGTCATTGGCTTTGCTGCTTTATTTTTGTGTCCTTTTTTTTACTTGAATAATGCAAACTCCCCCTTTTGGACACACTTTCAAAGTCTGACCACACACACTGACCGCCATTTCCCCGCGCTTTTCCTTTTCCCTTATTCCTTTCGATTTCCACTTCCATTTCCCTTAAGCAGCTTACGCACTCAGCAAGCGGTTGTGTGTGTGTGTGTGCGTGTGATAGTGCATAAAATTTATTGGCGCTTTGGGGGGAGGTGGGGAAAACAGGATTTTCCGAAGGAATGGAGGGGAGGGAGGTAACGAGGAAGCTCCACTTTCACTTCGGCCTGCAAATGGCAGTTTTCCTTGTTGCAGACAAGGCTTTTATAATTTTATGCCATTTCTTTCAATATTTATTTTGTTATTATGTTTTTGTAATGAGTTCAAGTTGTTGTCAACAGGATAGACAACAACAGCAAAAACCACAAGGAGATAGTTAGAGCATGGCGTTGGAATTGGAAAAATTGTATCAATAGACCGCCGTCGCTGTCTGCGTACATCGCTTGTTGTGTGAGTGTGTATTGCCATGGAAAATTCCGCCTAGCACATAAATTAATTAATTTTGTTTTTGCCTTTTTTTGTTTGTTGTGTCCTACAACAAGGGGTAGGGGCTGGTTGGTCGTAGGCCTATCCAAATTTAGTTTAATGCGTAGTCCATAACATTGAACTACACGGAACAAATTTCTATAATCATGAACCTAAAAACAAAACTTAATCTAAGGCTGGGAGAAACGGATAAACTCTTAAAAATTAGTGAATTTAAATTATCTAGAAATGTTTCTGTTGAATTATTGCATTATTAATTGATATTATTAAATAAATGAAATGATTAGAGGTTTTTGGAACCTCAAAAAAATAACTATATATAAAATTTCATATTACAGATACTTTTTCTTTTAATTGCTCGATGGGTACTTCTCGGTTTTCTCCCATATAAATTCGATTCCCTATTTATTGAAACAAGATATAGTGTTTATTTAAGACTTTAATTTTTTCTGTGTATTTCTTTTTCTATTTTCCTCCATCGCCCCATCTTGTGTGTCTTTTGTTCTGCAGTTGGCAAAGTCTAAAGTTACGTTCGTCTCTATTGATTTTCCATAATGAGGCTTATATCGGCCCAACTCCCCTGGTGGAGCCATCGAATTTCATTGCAAAATCACTGCAGGGAAAGTGGTGGCCAGGGGCGGTGTGCTGAGGGGGAGGGGATGGGCAGCTTGGCGAGGCGTAGACTTCGGTTGGGAATAAGAATTCCTGGCTGTCATGGCTGATTGCCAAACAAACAGACACGAATCCACATCCACTCACACCCAAGCGAAGCAATTTTATTGTCATCATTTGTACATAATGTGGGACATCGCTAAGAAGGTTTCTGATTTAAACATGGCATCCTTCTAAATAACGTTATTCCCTAATAAGGATTAGGATAAAATAGTGTTTATAAATATCTAGTTTGTTTACTATTAAACATAGTAAAGTCTTGCGGTAAGCTAAAAGGTTTAAGCAGAGAAAACTTATAAATATTTTAAGCTTCTTAAGCTTATTTTGCATAACCATAAAACCACCACAAATCGTTATTTTAAAAATTAAAATAATTCTGAACGGTAAACTGTTTGTCACTTTTTAAAGTATTCACTAACATCCAATTTTCACTGTACTTACACTAGCATTTTTTGCGAAACGTTCTCGGACAAAGGACATAGCAGGATGTTGGTATTGTTTTTGTAGCTGTCAAGTCAATCCTGACATTATGATTTCTACTCCATCAGCAGCAACCTCACCATTCTTTCCGAGCCCCCCCAAAAAAAAATACAGGCTGCTACCTTTGATAGATTTTTCAATTTGTTATCAGCTTGTCAGCCATTTTTTCCCTCAATTTTTCCTTTTGTAATTAAGGATAGTAGTTGGGGAGCTTGTTGGTTAATATTTATTGGTATAAATAATTTTGCAAGTTTTATGTGGCTCAACTTTAATTTGCAAGGCGATAAATAACAAATGGCCCCCAGTCCGAAGCCAAGTTCCCATCCCCTTTCCAAAATCCTGGTTTCTGGAATCCGGATTCTGGACACACACACACATGAACCGGGGGACAGCCGTTAAATGAAAGTGAAAAGAAAAGTGGAAAAGTAGCCGGAGCAACAACTGCAAAAAGTGCTGAACGCAGACAAAGTACAAATTGCCCACAAAAATATAAAAACGAAGCAAATCGAGAGGCAGAGAAAAAAGAAAGTTCAATTTACTACTTTTCACTTTAGCATACATTCCACCCACCCAGAAAATAAATACACACACTCACACACACACAACACACAAGAATTCAAAGGACACCCTCATTTCGGGTGGCCAGCTGGAAATTGGAGAAGCCAGAAGCCTCAGCATCCCACACACGCTTATAGAATTTTACCAAACCCCGCACCCATTATCCTGGCAACCTTATCCTTGCTCTGGCACTCCCCCAAAAAAAAACTTTGCCTTTTGCGTTAAATTTTTCTTTTTATTTTGGAATTTCGTTCGATAGTCTTGCAAACATATATATACATTCATATGTAGGTACATATGTGCTACACACACAACACACGAGCATCTAATTTTCTTTTAAGGTCAAGCTGAAATGAAATACAAAAAAAAGTTTTTTTTTTTGCTTGATGAAAATTACAATTTTCGTCTTATTTTTCTCTCAACTTTCATGCCAAAAGGAAGAAATGGCTTGCCCTCTTGTTGCTTCCGTTCGTTCGCTCGTCCTTTCCCGATGTCCTTTCCCCCCACGTAACCATACAGCATGTGTGTGCGTTTGTGTCCTTCCTCCTGGCAAGTTTTATTCCTCATCAACGCCCGTTCAACCTATTCCCCCACCCACCCCATTCTCCACACAAAACCTCAAACACAAACTCAGACTCAGCCTTAGAGTCCTGGCAGTCCTGGCTGGCATTCACATTCACGCACATGCCACTGCGGCTGTGTGTATCCAATTGAAAAGGCAAGGAGCAAGACGAACGGAGCCATCTCAAAACGCAACCGAAACTGAAATAAATCCGTGTTTCGGGTGTCGATGCCTCCTTTACTTTGCTACTTTCTTTGGCTTCACATGCCTGCAAATGAGAAATGGTTGAAGGGATGCAGCCCTTTACAAAGTCAGATAAGAGATCTGATTCATATCACATGGTGTGGCAGGGTTTGATGTGTTGAGAATTTCGATTACCCCGAAAATTACCCAGTGAACTCATTAAGATTTAATTCATGATCATTATCAGGTATAAAGGATCTGGTTTGTGGAACTAATCTTCAAATTATGATTAAATATATGTAAAGACATAAGGGTTGATAAGTAACATAAATAAGTTATTTTAAAAATAATCAGTGTTTTATAATTTGATTAAATACGAAAGATTTTTTTTTTTAAACAAAACTATGATGTGAATAATCTAAACTCTTGCTTAGTGCTTTCCTTCAAATTATAATACAACAAAAAAAAATCGAAAGAAAAATAGTATTAACCTGAAATTTGTATAGTTGCTGGCCATGGTTGTCCTGGACATGATCTACGCCAGACTTAACCTCTGGCTGAGGCGTCGCTACCTCAGGGTGATCATCACCTTCGTGATCCTTGTTCTGGTTACCTTTGTCCTGGACATGTGCTTTTTGTTCTTCCAACGTGACCTTATCTTCTGGCGAGACTTGGTAGTGGAAATCCTGGAGGATTGTTTTCTGCTACCAGCCATCATGATTAGTATCTCGGTGGTCGTCAAGTCCTTGGTGGTGGCTACCCTTGTGGCTGATCACTTCTTTCCCCACCAGTGGCTGCAGTCTCGTCTCGAGCGGCATCGTCGCCAGAAGTTTGCAAACTTCATTGTGCGTCGCCTGCTTTTTCAACTGGAATTGGCCAAACGGCGGTTGCCCCAACCCAGAGTACATCTCGATCTGACCGATGTGGTGATCCAGCAAAATTACGAGCAGGTCCATATGGTCGCCCATCGAGCGGTGGAAATCTTCCGGCGGGACGCTATGTCGTTACTGGAACAGAAGTCCTCCAATTCCAGTGGGGAACCGCGTTACTTTGTGCTCGAGGAGGAGGAGCAGGCTCTCCGGCGGAATGGCTTTGCCAGGATTAATTTACGGGTCACCAATCAGGTACTACGACAGCTTCTCAGTCCGCTGGAGAAAGAACCAAGTGCCATCCAGTAGTCTAAATCATGTTCATACCCAAATTTGCAGTTGCACCTGTTTCAAAACACCCTAACTTTACGGAAAACTCTAAATTTACCTTGATTTTTTATTTTTATTCGACAAAAATCGTCATTGCTGTAATTTTATAAAACAATGTATTATATTTTAACTATATGATTATAAGATCAAAATAAAAAATGTGAAAAAAAACAAATTTTGTTAGCTTTGGGTTTAATTTTTTTGAACCCATTAGACGTCTTAAAAAAATTCGAAAATTGAAATAATATGAAATGTTTTGATCATGTCTTTCCACATACACATTTTATTTAGTTTGTATATCTACAATCTCGAATTATGTGAATATCGTGATATAAACTATACAGGTACCTACTTTTAAGATTAACGATAAAATGCTCCCATTAAAATAATTCCTTTAAAAGACTAGGGACCATAGCTTATAAATTCAAATATATGTAAATACAACTTCCTTTCCATTTTGTAATAGTTAAAACACCTAGTTAAAAATTGTAAATGTAATTTATGCAAAAGAAAGACCAAAACAATTTTAGTCGCGTTGTGAAAAGTCATTAGGGTAACCTACTGCCACCACAAGCCTCCCGTTCTCCTATCCACTCGTCTCTGGTGCGTGTCCTTTTGCGTCATTTATTTAAATTGCCGCATTTCCAGGACTAATGTGCATATGCCAGGGGAAAAGCAAATGAAAAACCCACCCCCAGATGCCTAGCTCCCTCCGCCCCTCGCCTTTTCTATACATTTGGAAAATGAGAAAACGAAATAACAAATACTTACCCCCGCTCCAAAGAGCCGAAAAAAATCCATAAGTTAAATTATTAAAGTTTGTAGCCGCTGTGTTGACTCAAGGTCTGGGGGTTTTTTTTGACACATTCCAAGGACTCGGCAAGCGGTCAACGAAACGAAGTCCCATAAAAGCCCAAATGTGAAGACGGAGTCTCAAATATAAATTACCCTCGTTTTTAATGTTATTGTGATTTCAATCATAAGCCCTATAAAAACAGAGTAGCCATAAATTGCATGAGACTTTTGTTTAAAGTAATACCTTTTACACAAATATTTATAAGTTTACATTTTAAAGCATAGTTTTGTGAAATTTTTAGCCCACTTTATTTACTTATTTAATTACGTTATAAATTATTTGATTGTCAATACAAATAACAGAAAAGTATTTTTTTTTTATTATTGAAGAGGATTTTTTGGAAGTGGTTAAAAGTTAAAATGCATGTCTTGCCGTAACTCTTTTTGAAATCATCATACTTTTTGGACTTCCCTTGCAAGGGGTAATGAAAATGGAAAGCGTTTCCAAAGCATATGGTGACAACAAAAATGGTTGTTTGCGCCTGGCGCCGCCTAAACAATTTAATTGAGAGTTGAAATTACTCGTAAATATGTATGGCTACCCACATTCACATGGGGAATAAGTGGGTGAAGTTCTGAGGACGGTCGTTAATGGTGTTCAATGAGTTTTTTTTTTAGCCTGTAATTTGTTGGCCTGCGTGTGAAGCTCTGTCAAATCGATTAAAAACTAATTTCCACACACAATCCATTCAAAAAACGACGAAAACTATAATTTTATTCTGTAATTTTTTTTAGCTTTTGCTGTCGTTGATGGATTGGTTTAATCTAAAATTCATTAGAAAGAAGGGGTTAGTTGTCATATGCGCATTTACACTATACAAATTGAGTTTTATTTCAGCTCTACCTTTTATCTCACTGGTCTAAAATACTTAAATTTATATATAAAATGTATTTTATAGCTTTTTACTTTCAGCAGCTTTTAGTAGCTTGTTATGTAGCTAAGTAAGAATAAAAAAAAGCTATGTCAACTGTACCCAAAAACTTTTCCAACTTTTATAGTGCCAAGCACTTAAAATACTCACCCGGGCTTATACTTTGACCGAGAAACTATGTGGAAAACATTCTTCCCTTTTCCGCTTCCAAATTATGAACAAGTTTGTTTCCTCGCCTCTTTTGGCAACAGGAAGTTTGGACAAGGGACGACAGGACGAGGGAACTATGGAGCTGTCAGGAACACGCGCCAGACGCACATCTCCAGCCCTCGATCGGAATTGATTTCGTCGCATTCCTTTCAAAAATTATTGATAAGACATTTCCACGGGCATTGTGTTTGGCCATTACAGCTACAGTTACAGCTACACTCGCTCCTGCGAGTGAGTGTCCCATGTAATACAAATATTGACATTCTTTGATTTCGCAATCCTCAATTCTCGCTTGGGGTAGCAACAAGCAAAAGGAAGGACCTTCTCCGGTTTTCCTGGGGTGGAGGGTTCAGGTCCCTTATTCGCCTTTGCACATAGAAAAAATATTTCTAAAAGATTATTGAGTTTAACTTAAATCATTAAAAAGTTTTAAAGTATATTAATACGTGAACTCCATACTTATTCAATTATTTTCGTGCTTTTTATTTGAAGACTATTTATTTTATCTTTATAATACAAACTGCCTCTTGGGAACATAGAAAACAAAATTACTAAAAAAATATCTTTGATTAAAAAAAAAAAATGTTTAGTAAAAATAATTTTTTTATAATTATTTTCATTTATAAACGTTAATGATTAACCTTTTATTAGTCTTCTCTACAAAGTAAAAAAAAATAAAACAAATTAAAGATAAAATAAATAACAGTTTTAAAGATAAATGTTTCAAATAACGTTTTTTTTTCAAGTGCATTTCGTTCATCCCTGCCTCCTTTGGAAATATTGAAAAGCTGAAAGCAAATGTCAAAACTCGGAAAAGTTGAAAATTCCCCACGTTTGCAGAGAGTGATGAGGGGGTGGAATGGCCCGGATTCTCGTCTCAAGGGCCGCAGAATCAGCTTAGAGAAGTCCCCAGCCGACTTTGAATGGGAATCACAGGGCGATGTAAGCACTTTTTAAGCTCGAGATGATGACACTTGTGCCCGAGTGCATTTTTGCATCAGGGAAGTCGAACTAAAGGAGCTCAGTGTAAAATCGGAAGTTTATTGAAATCCCAGCACCCACAAATCACAAGGTTTTTAATTTATTTATATGTATTTGTATATATATTTAATATAATCAATTTAAAACACATACAATTTTTGATAAATGCTCACTTACAATGAAATGAAAAATGTTGGTTTTTCCACCGTTTTTTGATTCTTTGCTCTTTCACATTTTACATATAATATAAATTATTTTGTCCAAGTTTTCCTTGGTTTCTTTTGATTTTTTCTCACACATAGTTTTACATAATAACAAAGTAAAATTGTTTAAGTATATGTAATATATATATATATATATATATACCGATATATAAGTGTATATATCTCATACATTTGCCAATTGCTAAATAAATGTTATTTTGTTGGGTTTTTGTTTTATATTAAATTTAAATTTAATTTTGTTTGATTTTTTGCTCGTGGCTTTTGATTTGCGCTCTCACGTCTTTTGTGTTGCTATCCTCTTCATTTTCTCCTCTTTTTCCAACTTCAACTTCAACATCAATTAAATTAATAATTTCTTTAAGCATTTTGTTGCTTTGACTTAAGCCTACAACTAAAATATTTATTAAGAGTGTAATTTTTTGTTTTTAATTTTGCTTAGCGCTAGTAAAATTTTATCTTTGATTTTCTTGTGGTTTTTGCTGCTAGACCCTGCCGAAGGTCATACAAAATTTTGATTTATGCTCAAGGTACTTTGCAAGTTGTTTTTGGGTTTTGTGTTGTAAAATTTATTTAGCATTAGATTTAAAAAACATGTTTTCATCATTTTTGATTTGTGCGCTCTTCTGTGTGGGGGTTGCAGTCATGCCAAAATATAAGGAAATAAAAATAATGTTAAACCATTGCCAAAAACCCGAGCCCATAAGGAAATAAAGAATTTGCATGGGGTTGCTGCCAAATCACCCTTGGCAATTGTAATATTTTCTTTTCATTTTATTTTTATATAAATTGCAATTTTTCCAGTTCACTTTTAAACATGCAAATAGCGGCAAACACCCTTAAGTCGATGCAAATGCACCATGGGGTAGCACAGCATTTGGTCAATTGATTGCGCCCTTAAAAATTGCTGGCAGCGGATTTTCCTAAATTGCCATAAAAATTCAATAGAAAAAAGTTCGGAAAAATCCGGGAAAACTCGGGAGTAATATTTATGAAATTTGCCTACCATCCCCTGGTCAACCTGGGGGTTGTTGCTCAAGTCAATCTTTAATTGCTGCGCCGGCAGCCGGAAAAGTATCGAATATCTGGCCGTAATCAATGAGATGAAATTTGCATGGACACGTGACAAATAATTAACTGCCAAAACGGGCGAGATTCCGAACTCAGAGGGTGGCTGCATTTAATCAATAGCCATGGCAATATCGATTCTGATTCCGGCTTAGGAACTTTTTTTTTAGAACTTCAAACAACTGCAGCTGCTGACCTGACCCTCCAACTTGACCCTCACATCCCCATGCTGGGTTTTTGTTATCGTAGTTTCTCTGTTATTTTTTTTTTTTCTCCAGCGGAGTATAGCCATTCATACAGATGTATTTTTTAATGCAAACATACTAATCAGAGGGTTGGTCAAGGCCTGACCCAAAACCGGAAACAGTTTCACTTATTATGTATTATTTTTTCTTTTTTATGAGGGTGCTGTTTCTGTTTGTATTTAAAAGAGGAAAAAAAAAAGAAAACCAGCTGCTTGTGAGTTTTTTAAAATGATTAAACAAGTCGCAGATATGCTCTCAAGCTATTGTTGACAAATTGAATCAAATGGCAATTTAATAATTGTAGCGGCCAAGGCGTTGGACCAGCATATAACACCCCGAGAAATGAAGGTCCCCTATGGGAACGTTTTTCAAAAAACCAAAACAAAGAAAAAGGTCTTCCCCTATCGGCGACAACTTCACAGTCAATAAGTTGAAGATACTGATTTTTTAAGACCTTGGACTCGAGTCTGGCACACTTCAATCACTGGTAAGAAAATATAACATGCGGTGGCTTGTAAATTGGGATATCGGAAATCAACATCAAAATAATAAAAGAAACTCAAGTTTAACGAATACAAATTGCATGACATTTATTTAATACATATA